CTCTCTCTCTCTCTCTCTCTCTCTCTCTCTCTCTCTCTCTCTCTCTCTCTCTCTCTCTCTCTCTCTCTCTCTCTCTCTCTCTCTCTCTCTCTCCCCCTCTCCTTATCCCATCAAACCCAGCGTAATAAAACGTCAGAAATACTTGGGTATTCTTCCCTTTTTAATTTTATTCTACTCCATTCAATCCTCAAGTTCTTCAATATCTTGCTAGAAACACCCCCTTTTTTGGAATATCTAATGTGTATGCAATAAATTTATGTTCTTTATCGAACTATAATGTTTACGAGCAACCCCTCACACACACATCCACGTCACACCCCTCATCCATCCACTGAAATACTGAAACTGGACTCTTATTCGTGTCTAGAATACAGCAGATGATTATTTTGCTCCGTGGCGCAATTGGTTAGCGCGTCTGACTGCTAAGCATCGGGATTGACAAATAATCAGGAGGGTGGAAGTTCAAGCCTTCCCGGAGAAGCCTCTTTTTTTTTAATTCTTACTTTCAATCCTTGAGTTCTTGCATATCTTGCCCGGAATAATAACCCCTTTTCCAAATATATAATGCATAATAATAGACATTCTCTCTCAAACATCTTTGCGAGTAATTACTCGCTAACACACACGCACACACACAAACTCTACGTAGCCCAATAGACCTACCTGGTTCATTCCTTTAATTTGCCTAAATCCAAACATATATCCATACAGCAAAGCAGCTCTCACTCACATGTCCTCTGTGGCGCAATTGGCTAGCGCGTCTGACTGTTATTCAACAGGTTATCAGGAGGTTGGAAGTTCGAGCCTTCCCGGAGGAGTTTTCTTTTTTGTGCGGGATGTACGAGTAGTTTAATTCTCTTTTTTGCCGAAAAAGCCAAATCCGGAATGGCGGACAGTTGCAGTGTGGAGTCATGATTCGTCATGGACTCAGGTGTCGCTTTCTCTCGGAAACCCCGATCGGGGAACGGCTTGGCTCCCAATTGAAATCGCAACAACGGCAGGAAAACCGACGACAACGATGAAGATCTTGTTTGATGGTCGTGGATGGATCGATCGACAGGGGAATATGTGAAAATGTATATAAAAATGGGCAATTGCCCCTCCCATGACTTCATCTTTCTCCTTTTCATATATACTAGCTAGTAACCGTTGACAACGTCTCGGTATCTTCCCCATATTGATCTCCGTGTATCTTGCTTGCTAGAGCGAGTCTTGTTTCTTTTTCAATCCTGTCCTTGCGATCCAGAGAAATATGGCATCGTCACATGAAAAACCTAGGAGCGCCATCGTGGTTGGTATGTTAACCCCTGATTATCTATTCGCTCCTTCTTCCGCGAGATGGTGGCCTAACAATTCCTTTCTTTCTGTAGGCGCCGGAGCCGGCGGAATTGCCATCTCAGCTCGTCTTGCCAAAGCCGGACTCAAGGTGACAGTCTTGGAGAAGAACGACTTTACCGGAGGACGTTGCAGCATTTTCAGGAGCAAAGCTGGCTTTCGCTTCGATCAGGGGCCCTCTCTCCTTCTTCTCCCTAACCTCTTCCGAGAGACGTTTGCCGATCTTGGGACGACGCTCGAGAATGAGGGGGTAGAGTTGTTACAATGTTTCCCCAACTACGATGTAGGTTTCTCTGCCCTGTTCGCCCTCGAGAAACGAGAATTTGCTGACCATCTACAGATCTGGTTCTCCGACGGAGCCGTCTTCCGCAGCAGCACCGACACGGTAGCCATGAAGAAGGAGATTGAGAAGTGGGAAGGCCCAAGCGGGTTCCAGAGATACCTCACCTGGCTCGCCGAGGCCCACGGACACTACGAGAGCAGTCTCCAACACGTCCTCCACCGCAACTTCACCAACCACATCCAGCTCGCCGACCCACGCTTCGTCATCCCCGGCGTTGCCCTCCACCCTTTGGAAAGCATCTGGAGCCGCGCAAGCAGATACTTTTGGTCTGACCGTCTCCGGCGAGTCTTTACATTCGCAACCATGTACATGGGCATGTCCCCCTACGACGCACCCAGCACCTACAGCTTACTCCAATACACCGAACTAGCCGAAGGAATCTGGTACCCCCGGGGTGGATTCCAAACCATCCTGGCAGCCATCGAGAGGATAGGCCGCAGCCTCGGCGTGAACTACCGCCTCTCAACTCCGGTATCCAAAATCCTCACGGGAGGCCCAGACGGCAAAACAGCCACGGGAGTCCAGCTCGAGAACGGAGAACAACTCCACGCCGACATGGTAATCGTCAACGCGGACCTGGTATACGCCTACAACGAGCTCTTCCCGCAGGAGAACGAGAACACCGCGGTAGGCAAGGAAATCACCACCTACGCGCGCGAGCTCAAAACCAAAGAAGCTTCCTGCTCCTCCATCTCATTCTACTGGTCCTTCTCCCAAAAGATCCCCGAGCTGGGAACGCACAACATCTTCCTCGCCGACGAATACAAAGAATCCTTCGACGCCATCTTCAAGCGACACACCTTACCCACCGACCCCAGCTTCTACATCAACGTCCCCTCCCGCATCGACCCCTCCGCCGCGCCATCCCCAACCCAAGACGCGATCATCGCCCTCGTCCCCGTCGGCCACTTGACAGACTCGGACACAAATTACTCAACCCTGATCTCCCAAGCCCGCTCCGCGGTCCTGCAAACAATCCAACACCGCACAGGCTGCGCGGACCTCGCCCCCTTAATCATGGAAGAAACCATCAACTCGCCCCCCGACTGGGAAAAGAAATTCAACCTAGACAGGGGCGCCATTCTCGGTCTATCACATTCCTTCTTCAACGTGCTTTCCTTCCGTCCCCGAACCCGCGCCAAAGCAATCAAAAATGCATACTTTGTCGGAGCTTCTACTCACCCTGGCACAGGCGTTCCAATCGTTTTGGCTGGAGCGAAAATCACTGCAGAGCAGATTCTGGGTGATAAGCAGATGGAGGTTCCCTGGGAGCTCAATAAGCACTGGAAGGGCGAGGAGAAGGCTATGGAGAGGAGTAAAGGGTTCCGAGGCAAGTTGGACGTATTGAAAAGGCCGGCGTGGGTCGATGATTGGAACTTGTTTATGGGGTTTGTCGTTGCCGTTTTGAGCCTTTTGGTTGTTTATTATTCTGGGGTTCTGGGGGGTTATATTGGGATGAAGTTTGTTGGTGATTGGTAATTAGAGGGTTGGTGATATTTTTTTAATATGTCGTGTTTTTTTTTTCTGGAGTATTTATTTCACCAACGTATTTACTACCATGCTTATTCGTTATATTTCAGCATAATATTGATTCAAGTAGTAGATCAAAATCAGATATAGAGCGAGCCACTGTCAGTATTAAAGAGTACCTCATTAAAGGGCCAACAAAATTTCCATACGCTGATGCTCAAACCACATGCAATACCATCCCACCATCTTACATATAAATACTAGGCTAGACTAAGAAAAGTATATCCCCTCATGATGGCAACGGTGATGACGATGATAACAACAACGAAAAGAAACACCAACCCTAGCTGTTGAGAAATTAAAAAACTGACGAGACAAATCTGGCCCCATCTATGATTTAGTCATCCTCATCAAAAATCTGATAAGTATTCTGCAGAATCGTGTCCACAACGCGAACCTGCCATCCGGCGTCCGCAATACTGGAACCGGGTATCGTACCCATAAGCGTGGGACCAAAAACAATCGCAAGGTTCTGTGAGCTCATCCTGTTGGCCCCCGAGTTGTCAATAACCCGGTGGAGATGCAGAGTGAGTGCTCGCAAGGTTGCGTAATTAGGATCCGGAAGACTATTGATAATCGCGTGCAGAGAGTCCCGTCTCACAATATCATCCTCATTTTCTAAAAGAATTCACGTGTTAGTACGCGATCGATTATCCGGACGAGATAGTAGCTTACTGGCTGCGTCCACAAAGGCGGAATAGTGTTCCCTCGTCAGCAAGGGGTCTGGAAGATCTCGGAAGAACTGCTTGAGCAGACCGGCGACACTATTTACGTCATGGAAGAAGTTTTCTGGGTTCCTAAAGTCTAAGTTGCTCGAAGTCGAATCTATCGACAACCGTTAGCGCATTTTCGAATTTGAAAACAGAGTGCATATATTTCAACTCACCTGTGTCAAACAAAGTCTTGAGCTTATTCACGTGAGGCACAGAGCCCGAGAGTCGATAGATGCCCTCAACATTCAGACCAAACAGATCGACAGCCTGGATACACTGATAAACAACCATGGGAACTGCCAGACTATCTCGTTCATACAGCTTGGACAGGGCGACGCCGAACACTGGACGAGCTGGAGCCATCTGGCCCGCAACTGGCGGTGAATGTCTGTGGGACTGCGGAGGAGCTATTGCAGGGTGTTGCTGAAGTGGGTTTGCAGCCGGCCCGCCTTGCGAAGACAATTGCGAATAGGGTGGCTGTTGAGATGATTGCTGCGATTGTGATGACTGAAATGGCAGAGCTCCAAGTTGCGGAGGGCCTTGCGAACCAGACGTGGTATAAGAACCGTTGAACCTCTGGGGTTGTTGTTGTTGTTGTTGCTGTTGTTGTTGAGGAGTCGATCCCCGTCCTCCATACTGACCCACAATACCAGGGCCAGGGGGCCCCTGGCCCACATTGCTTCCATGACTGAAGCTCCGCTCGTGCTGCTGAGGCTGGGATGATGGTCGTTGAGGGTTGGTCAGCACCGGGACAGAGCTCATGCTTTGGTTATAGCTGTGTCCTAAAGTGCCGCCTTGGTTTGGGTTCGGCGTCTCAGAGAATGTGTTTGACCTGGAGTTTTGAAACATTCCAGGCTGCGGAAGTGGAGGTTGAGCCGAGGTTGCTACTGACGGTTGTTGGCTGAAAGTGGTTGTCGATGCGCGATGTGATGGATCAATGAGCTAAAACAATGTTAGTTTTCTTTGAGACATGAACCGAAAAACAAAGCCTTACAGGATTGCGCTCGTATTTAGGGGGTGTTGTTTTGGGCGGCATCCTGGAATGTTGACTAGCCACGTAGTCGTTCAAATCCTTCTCGTTCTCAATGGCGAGAATGCATTCCCGCAAGCTGCGCGTCTCGGTCCCATTCTTTAAGGGACTGATGCTCAGCCCGTTGCTCAACACCAGCTTCTCGTTGAAAGAGGCAAACTTTTGCATCTGCAAGACCAGTCCCGAATCACACTCCTTCACAACGTCTTGCAACGCCTTTACAGTCTCTGGCCTGGTCTTGGCCAACAGTTCACTCCGCTCTGTCGACGCAGCCTGCACCTTGCCCTGATAATCCTGATCCGCTGCCTGAGCTTTGCGCAAGAGGTCCTCCTCGTGCTGCGGCCCTGATTTGTGGCCCTTGAAACCAAACATCTTCCCACCCTGGCGCCCAGCAGTGTCACCAGTACGCGCGCGATCATATTCTTCGGCGAGCGCATCGTATTTTGATTTCGACTTGCGCATGGCGTTCTCGAGGTCAGCAACGCGCTGCTCAGCAGCGAGACCGTTTTGCTTCCATCCTTTTCTCGACT